GAATGTACTGTGTCCGATTTGAGCTCAGGTTGGATGAGTTACGTGTAGTAAATCGTAGGTATTATAAGGCTAGTAAATGACGAATTTCCCTTGTTTATTGATGTCACACTCCTCCCTATTATCTACTCCTGATATATATATATATATATTTTTTTTTTAATCTTCCCTAGGCTCCCTAAGTATGCTGCACATGACATTTTATATGTTCATTGCACATTTTCAACAATGTTTGTATACGCTATATGTGTGAGCAAACCTTAGATGACTGTTCTGTGAAATCTATTTTCTGGCGACTGGACGATGCCACTGCTCCTTCGTCTGACGTCTCAACGGATATGGGGCGAAGCTTGTTCCTTGGAGTTGTTGTTGTCGATACCTGCGTTACATGTAAGCGAAATGAACCTAAACAACTGACAAGAACTCACCCAGTACATACAGTCGATAACACGTGCCACATATCTAGAACAAACTGCCCCGCCTTGTATGCAGTGAGTAAACAGCACAAGTACCAATAGTTACGTAAAGAAAATTAAAAACTTAAAGATATCATTAGAGCGGAATAATAAATCTAGGACAAATATTTCTTACCGCACCAAGTCTATAAATAGTTGAAATTTAATAGGCACATGTGTGATATGAAATACAAAGTCATACATAGTCATGCGTAGGTGAACAGTTGCAGTGATAACAATTCAAGGTACTAAATGAGTGCAGTAGCAGGTGATAACTACAGATATAGATGGCTGTTTATACCTCTACGTTGGAGCTGTGCTCTGGCTGCGGATGTGTGGACCTACCATCGCTGACACTACCTGTTCGGCTGCGGAGGCTGGAAGGTGGGGGGGAAGCCATCTCACAGACAGCACTAGGACTCCACAAGCTCTCATCACAACCTGCTGCTTGCACCAGTATCGATTGAGATTCGCCTAACAAATCTTTATCTGAAACAGATCATGCGAAAATGAATGTTGAGGTCAAAGTAAAAGCTCATGGCATAAAATTCCGCGTTAGAATACACAGTCTTGGTTTAATAATTGTAACTCGTATCGTTTTGTGCCTTACCGGCGAACCTTTCCCAGAACCTGATACTGTACAATCATTCGACTTTCCAAAATGAATAGGCTAAACAAAATTGGTTGCTACTGAGCTTTCCCTCATATCAAATAGTTTAAAAAACTATGAAAATGTTAAAGAAAATATAAATATGGTAGAAAACGAACTTTGAAAAACGTGTGAAAACAGCGGATAGACGTTTGTACGAATGTTTGTCGACGATATTTGCAGAAATGATTCTTGGCCTGCAGTCTAAATCTCCCCAGCTTCTCTAGATTTAAAACCCATTATAGTCCCGCGTGATTTGTCAGAACTTACTCATCATACCGATATCAGAAAAACAGAACAGCAATCTGATTAACCTATCAACCTGCCATGACCGACAGGCACCTCTACCTAATCAGCATCGTGATGGCATGTTCTAAACACAATGCTTGACTAAAGACATGCTAGGTGCTCCGTGTACAAGCTCAGTTAGCTCGACTGACCTACCGATAGTGTTAGCTTACAACAGCGACGTGGACATCTTGCCTACGTAGATTGCTCACTCAATTCATCGCACCGATACCTCGACAGACAACAAACAAGCGAACGCTGGCAACGCGTAACGACCGCCGCCACCGCTGCGCTCAAGCTCCGCGCGACCTCCGCGCGACCCCAGCGTGACCTCTGCATGACCCCCACACGACCTCCGCGTGACCCCTGCACGACCTCCGCGTGCGCATCTCCGTCGCTCACCGTCGAGGCTGATTGGCAGCCGGTAGAGCCGCTTGGCGTCGCCGTGCTTCTTCGAGTCGTGCGCGAGGTCGAGCGTCTCGCTCGGGCCCTCCATCGTGTCGAGCGACAGCTTCGCGCACTCCGACAGAATGTCGTGCGCGTCCATGCGGTACCAGCGCTCCTTCGACATCTCCGTCTCCTTGGAGAGCGTGACGAGGGCGGGATGCATGCGCACTCGCTCTAGCATCGGCTGAAAGAGAACGGTTAGGGTTAACACACTCGCTTCGTTAGTATCCTCGTTTTTCAACTACGTATGTTCATCTCACTACAGGAACCCTCTGTATATTAGCGCGATGTATGTTCATCTCACTACAGGAACCCTCTGTATATTAACGTTATGTATGTTCATCTCACTACAGGAACCCTCTGTATTTTCACATGTGTGTTCATCTCACTACGGGAACCCTCTGTATATTAGCACGATGTGTGTTCATCTCAACACAGGAACCCTATGTATCTTCACATGATGTGTGTTCATCTCACTACAGGAACCCTATGTATCTTCATGCGATGTGTGTTCATCTCACTACAGGAACCCTAACAGGAACCCTATGTATCTTCACATAATGTGTGTTCATCTCACTACAGGAACCCTCTGTATCTTCACATAATGTGTGTTCACCTCACCACAGGAACCCTCTGTAGCTTCACAAGATGTATGTTTACGGTTATAATGGTTTTTGTTCGTACATCACGCAATTTTATGTAGTACGTTCTAATTGAGACAAACACAGATAGAGTGGGTACATATTTATATGTACTTGTATACTGCTGCCCATCATCCTTTACAGTTATAATAATTACAAAGAGAATCACAGTAAAACGTTGAGCATAATATTGTAGTTTCTATAAATGAAATACAAGAACAATCATCGTCTAGAACATTGGTTTACAATCTCAAGTTCTAACAACATCAATGGGAGCATACCATGATGATTTCTCTGTGGACAGAGGCATTCTCTTCTTTTCCATAAAAGTAGCGGAGATAGGTGAGGAAGGAGCAGGGAAACATTCCATACAGCCGATGGAACAGCGAGTACAGTCCCACATGAACGTGCAGTACGTGAATTTCTGGTACGCCACCTACAGGCAATAACAACAACCTTATTAATAAGCAACATAACGTACCTTAGGGTCTAAACAAGAAACACAACGACCAGATTGCCACACATTTCAACGTACATGTTTTACAACGTATGGTATTTTAAGTCTCTCTCTCTCTCTCTCTCTCTCTCTCTCTCTCTCTCCCACGCCAAACCCACTCTCCCTCCCTCCCCACTATCTTTCTCTCCCTCTCCATGCTCCTCTCTCTTCTTCTAGCTCTCTCTCTCTCTCTCTTGATCTTTTTCAACCACTTTACTTCTCTTTCAGGTATAATGGTTATAAACGTAAGAGTTAAACAAGTATGGTCAAGCTTGGTTCTGTTCTTGACATGCAATATCATGTCCACCCTATGCAATGTCTTTCATAAACCATTGTTTATTATTGAACACATATTAATTCATGTGTTCAATAATAACTTATTAGAACATCCTCGACAGTCTACTTCCACTGTACCTTCTCAACGTACAATTTTATTACCTTCCTGTTAGAAGAGAAGTGGAAACAAACAGACATGTTTAATAAAAGGCGATATTGCTGATGACTCAGTTTTACAACCATGTACGTAGCCTTGAGCAAACAGAAGGCCACCTAGACAAGTATTTGCTCACAATTAAGTGGATTGTTGACCTTCTTACAAGAAAAGTATGTGTGGGTTTATTAGGAGTGAGTAAAATCGCAAGTAACGTGTGCAAACAAGGAACGAACAGTAATGGCATGAACGTACGACACATCTGATATCAAACAATCACGAACAGCCGGTTTAAACGACAGCTTATCTACATCAATTGTTTGTTTTGACAACATAATAAACGACGTAGAGTGTGTTGCACTGCCGATGGCTTTGACCCTAACGAAGGTCTTTAGACCCTCTCCACTGTATGCCATCACATTGTGGTCACTATTAATATCTCAAAGCTAGGCGAATTTTGTAAAAGAATCGTGAAGCATCTATGGTGACAGCCTGGTGCAGAGTTCAGAGTTAATGTCCCAAGACTAGTCGATCATGTGTTATGACATAACACGGTAACGTTCAAATTCGCAAATTTTTTAATATTTAATTAAGGTTGCTCGACCATCGTAAAAAACAACAACTACTGTACGAACCTTGATTTTTAGGTATCCAGGCTGCCACCCGACAGAAGATTTCAAAGATGTGTGTCATATAGGGTCCAATAAGAGTGGGCACAGCAGGCAGAAGGGTGGCTATCAACAAGATACCACACAGCAGTACGCCAACGTCCACCTCCGTCTAAAACAAGAGAGACATTCACATTACACGTGATGACCACACAGGGAATGCTGCTCCAGAAAACGTGAGATTCGGCCGCGGCATGGCCGAATAACAGCTAGAGCCCCCAGTTACAGCTCCTTACAGCAGAGACTTATTACAACACCCACGTTATCCGCATTTACACAGGCGTATTACATACATAGTCATACGGCTGCTGAAACAAAGTAGCAAGATGACATCTATCCCCTAATGCACGCTTAAACGCACAAACCGCCGAGTGTAACTGTGTCAAATAGCCACAGCTTCAATCAAAGTGATAAACCCATGTCCATCACCTCCATGACTCGAACACAATCACGAGTTGATTGAATCAAGTTGATTACATCACGATATTCAGAATCACTGTGTTTATGTTTAACATGAATGTCATCGAAACGACATCCAAGAGTATCAACATACAGTAAAACCTGTTAGCTGTCACTTCTTTAGAACAGACACATGTCTAAAAAGACACTGTTGGGAGATTCCATTAGGTGGATGTTATACAATGAAACCACTTCTATTGAACACACACATTTCTATAAAAGACACTGTTGGGCATTTGCCTTAGGTGGAAGTTATACAATAAAACCATATCTATAGAACAGACACTTGTCTACAAAAAACACTGTCTGCTGTTTCGCTTAGGTAAAAGTTATACATTGAAATCCTCTATACAACGGGAACCTGTCTATAAAGGACACTCCTGATATTCTCTTAGGTGGACATTATATAATGAAACCAAGTCAATGGACCAGATACATGTCTATAGAAGCTACTTTTGGCATTTCCCTTAAACGTGCCTAACACAGAGAGGTTTTACTGCACACGCCTGCCCATCGCATCGCGGCAGTTTTCGAGCGTGAGCGATCGCGACTCTCACCTTCAGACACTTGAGCAGTGTGAGCAGCAGCGAGTGCGAGCAGACGACCTTGTGAAGCCACGGCGGCTGCTTGCCCACGACGTGACTCAGCAGCATCACCGTCTGCAGCCGGTGCGCTCCCTTCATGTACTCCTGCATCTTGTCGAACAGATGCTGCGAAAACGCGCGCAGGCGGAACGTGTCGTCACGTGAGAGACAAACGACAGGTGATGAATGACAGGTCACTGGTGTGAAGGGGGGAATGACAAGAATGACAGGGGAAAATGACAAGGATGAAGGGGAAAAATGACAAGGATGAAAGGGAAAAATGACAAGGATGAAGGAAGGAATGACAAGGATGAAGGGAGGAATGACAAGGATGAAGGGAGGAATGACAAGGATGAAGGGAGGAATGACAAAGATGAAGGGAAGAATGACAAGGATGAAGGGAGGAATGACAAAGATGAAGAGAGGAATGACAAGGATGAAGAGAGGAATGACAAGGATGAAGGGAGGAATGACAAGGATGAAGGGAGGAATGACAAGGATGAAGGGAGGAATGACAAGGATGAAGGGAGGAATGACAAGGATGAAGGGAGGAATGACAGGTATGATGGGGGAAATGGCAAGTATGAAAGAAAAATAACAAGTATGACAGGAAAATTACACTGATCGTGGAGAAAATAACAATGATGAAGGAGCAGATGACAAGGAAGAAAGGGGAAATGATAAGGCTGAAGGGGAAAATGACAGCGGGGGAAAATCATTAGATGAAATGAAATGGAGAAATGACGAGCAACAAAACATGACTGGCGCGAGTGTAACACTGAACTAGGATCAGTTAATGACGCCAGTATTCTAACGATGACGGTTATCACGTTAATTCTTTTCACGTCAATTCGCTACTCATCGACTGATCAAACAATCATGCAACAAATTGCTCCGATGATATGAGTCATATTCAATGCAAATCTATGTGCACAAAGCTCTGATGCCCTTTGCAGATTCAAGCAAACCTTGTGGTGAGGTTCCCGCACAGACGTAAGGATGCTGAGGGCCCGCATTGAGTTGGATTCCATGTAGAAATCCACCAGACCATGTACCATCCACGGCTCTGGAACTAGAGTAGGACGAGTCTACGTGATGCTGGTAGCTATTTATTAACCAACGTATGCTATGACAGGTAGCATCCATGTTACAAATGTTCTTATCTAACGTCGGCTATATCACAGATGAAAACAAATCCCTAAAGTTGCATTCCATTTGTGGTCCCCTGGTTACTGGGGAATAATCGAAGCAAAAGCCACTCAGCTTCTACATGTGCGGGCACGACTATCATTTGCATTATTACATTCTTGGCATAAGGTTCATCCAGTACTTGCTATGGATAAAGCAGTTGCTGCAATGCTAACTTAGGTTGGTACAGCATTTACTACGTAGTTAGTACAGTTAGGTATCTCTAGTACTTAACCATATTTTGCGGTTTATAGACCTCGGTCTGTTCTCAGAGTATGTCTAAAAAGACCACCCTCTGTCGTATAAGCTGGAGGTTGGTGAAGCAGACATGCAAGCATTTTTAAGCTGACCAACATGAGCATGTAAACCCTTAGTTGATACCCTACAAACAAAACACTGCTGATAGTGAGGAAGGTTTGAGCAGTGAAAAGGTTTGAGCAGTGAAAAGGTTTGAGCAGGAAATTTCAGCAGTGAAAACACAAAACAAGGGCATGGCCTTATCTATGATAAGCATATACCTGATAGTGGGGAGGGCTATTGCACAGTAATTTATTTTGTCTCAGCTTATTACCTTTTAAATCTGAGCTGTGTCTAATGCAAAAAAGCATTCCACACACCACAAAATATGGAATGATTACGCTAGCACGACTCGGATAGGTTGGCAAAATGCTTACCACTAGTACTAGCTGCTTAGTACAGTTAGGTTATCCCTCGTACTCACTATGTGGTTTGCGTACAGGACGGTATAATATTTATAGTTACACTGCTATGACACTCACTCGTGTTCAGGTAGTCGACGATGAGCACCTTCATCTTGCTCGCCTGCTTGAGGTCGTTCGAATCCAAGAGGCTGAATTCGAGCGCCGGCGGGCCCTGGTGCTGCGGCTGCTGTTGCAACTGCTGCTGCTGCTGTGCCATCGCACACATCGCCGCACGATCCGCATCAACCGATCACGGTTCAGTCGTCGACACCTGCAAACGGCGGGATGTGAGATCACACTTTACATCGTCTCATCACCGTCGAGCTGAAATCGAGTGTGACGCGAGCCCACAGATCCGTGTTAGATGTCTCAGCACGTATGGGATGTCTAAACGCGCGTTACATTTCTTGTCACATTCGATGGCAGGGTGCGAAATTAACAGGAGACCGGAGTCAAATACTCCATGATTTACTGTCGGACTCCCTGATTTGACATGTGTAGGAGTCCGTGTGACTCCCTGAAAATTCTGCCATACTAACTAGTTCGTTCCAAACTTCCAGAGCACGGCGTCGCGGAATTACCATGTTTTTTCAGCTAATGTCCAAAGAAAATTTGGCAGACGTGCAACCGCAGGAATCTTAAAAATAAGCACATGCGTTATTGTAAAATATCTTTAATTTTAAACTTCAGACTGCAGACTCCCTCATTTTGCTGCGGACTCCCTCTTTTTGAGGGTAGGGAGTTCGTTGGACTCCCGTGTTTAAAAGTGAATTTCTACCCCTGCGATGGTCACCACGGCTGTTATTTTAATGTTTATAGCAGTTCGTTATAATAAACGCCCAGGTTGTTGTTGCAGACACATGAGGTTTACAAAGGTAATGTTTATCAACATATCATACACACTCCTGATATCATACACACTCATGTAGGTACATGTGTTTACATTGGACAATCTCTACCGAGCCTAACACTTTGAACATGTGTTTTAACTAGAAACGAGCAGTTGTCACCAACGACATGTATCCCCCGTGATCTAGTATGAATAGAATATCTCTGTAAGGACGTAGAAGGCAGGTAAAGTTAAATAAGTTACAAAGACAAAGGTTTGTTAGACAACTGGTGTGCCTCAGATG